TATACCACCACTAGAAAAAGCACCTTTACTTTAGCAACCCTACAAACATTCATTATGTCAGGTGTTATGTTGTTATGTCGGCAAAGAAATCTTTAGTTTAAAATCGACAAATTCACAGATGTTTGCATGACTGGGGGCATCATTAGCATCCACTTCAGGCCATACAAACATCTATTATCTCAATCTTATACCATTTCAAATCATTTGGGAATAGACAAATTCAGTTTGCCTCGATGTTTCCCTTTTCAAACAATAAAGAAAGAGAACTTACCCCCATTAGAATATTCGATGCCTCTTCTCTGCATCTTGCCACAAACTCTTCCTCCGACAACTCCTTTGGCTGAATTATAACTTTCTTACTTCGCCTATTAATGATTCTCTTTGTTATCATGTTTTCCAAGGCTTCTGCTTCATTGAGGATAAAACCCTGTTGTATCATGTCCAGGTCTGGGGGAGGTGACCTTCTTTGGGAAAGTGTTATAAGCTATGAAAGAAAATAAAAAATCCAGACAAGGAATTCATATCTTTTATTGAATATGTTCACATGCCAGATATGTCACTGGTAGTGGTCAGCCATTATTAAAGTTGTTTTTGTTTATGACTTGTCTCGTGAAGTCATGACTGTGAGGATGATGATGATGATGATGATGATAATGATGATGTTAATGATGATGGTAATAATAATGATGTTGATGAAGATGGTGATAATGATGATGGTGATAGTGATGATGATGATGGTGATGATGACGGGGATGATGATGGGGGTGATGTTGGTGGTGGTGATGATGATGATGGTGGTGATGATGATGGTGATAATGATGGTGATAATGATGGTGGTGATGATAGTGATGATAGTGATGACTTTATTCACGAGGGATAAGATGTAATAATTGTATAAGTCACATATCTGCAAAGAGGAAAACTGATCTATAAATAGTGTATGGCAATAAATTAGTTTTGTTTTGCTGCATAACACCTCCCATTTTTCACAGCAAAGCTAATTTAGACACCAAGTACCCAAGTAACATATATGAACTGCTCAAAGCTTTATAAAGGCATATCGTTCCTCTAACTCTTGGAAAAATTAAATGGCAATATTCCAGATCCATTGCTGACTCACCAGGTCACTATATTTTTTAAGTTCCTTGGCTCTCATCAACGTGGTCTGAACACGTTCAAATTGAACCAGAGCTAAAACCAACTTCTTGATGAAATCCGTCCTTCGTTGTACAAAAGGATTAACGACCTTCTTCGTTGGAAACTTCCTGTGTGTTCCTAAGCGGACTGTAGTGAGATTTAGTCCTGAATTTATCGCTTTTATTGCGGACGAACAACAAACTCTTCTGAACATTGAAGACGCCATCTTGAAAATCTGAATCCTTCCACAGGGATCCCAATAGAGTATTTCGACAGCATAAAAGCGCGCGAAAAAAATGTTGTAAAGCAGGCATTTTTGTTTGATCTTTCCAATCGCATGTATCAGACACTGTATTTAGCACAGTTTCCTATCCTCAAATGAAAAAGATTCGATGGATCGATTTTTTGGAATTATTATTTTCGTCTTTTTTCTAAATTGGCCTCCCTGTGGTCTTTCTTGACAATACGCACCCTCCCCTCCCTTTACCATTTCCGCTTCTCATAAACATCTATAAAAACTAATATTCTTGAATAAAAAATAACAGAGCAGAAATATCTTAACCTGATAAATGTAAAAATTTTTTCGTTAAATTTCTCATTTACTCATCTGTTTATAGTGCATTTTCACATATCCTTGTATAATTGGTAAAAAAAAATTGGTCAGTCAGCTTGGGAGTTTTGAAGTTGCATGTCAATTGTTTATTGATATGTTAGGAGGTTGGGTATAATTTGTTTTCATTTCATGTCTAAAACATATCCTGTCAGGTGGACTAACATTTCACACGAAAATGTTTAGAAAATATTACAATAAACTATAGGGAATATTGGATAAATGTTACTTTTATTTCCATACGGACTTTGAATCCTGTGAAATTTAACGCATTAAAGGACAAAAATGGCTTTTTTAAAAGCCCTAAATAATAAGAATAGAAGCTGGTATTATTTTGTTTTCCTAACTGCAGGATAATTTTTCTCAAACCAGGAATCCATAAATTACTGTCAATGATAGAATATATTGAAGTGTGACGTAGGGCTTGGATCTTGTTTCGTGTACGTCCATCGAACCGTGAATCCCTTTGATAGGTGCTTCGTGAGTCGTACGATATATTGTCTGGCTTGAACGACTGTCATTCCTCTAACCTTTCTCAGTAATGCCTGACAGATTTATTACGGGATATTAAGGCGTCTTGAATCGCTTGTGGTTGTAGTGCCGTGTCATTTTGCTTGTGTTGCGAAATATCCTCACTGTACTTGGCTGCAAACAACATGCTTAGAAACCCTGTTGGAGGAGTTCTTTTCGCCTTCATGGTGTATTTTAGCTCTTTCATGGGGCTGATCTTTATCCTTGGACCTTCTTTACCTCTAATGTTAGTCAAACCGAAGTGGTATCGCTGGTTCAACGACAAAGCTATCGGTTTTTGGCTTCATGTGGCACCGGTAAGATCATCATCTTTAACATTTTCCCCATCATTTTTCATTGGAAATTCTACTTTTTTGAAGGCAGTCAATCCTTTGCAGGGAAAATTCTTGACAATGAACTAACGAAATTCATGTCTTCGTTTCTCTATATAATATTCAATTGGACCTTGGACTTATGGCTGCTGGAATAATTTACAGGCTTTGCTAGGTAAGTAGGATGAATTTTTAAACAGAAAACACTAAAAAAATTGGTAAAATTATTGGGAAATCTGTTAAAACTTATTGAGTGGGACCCAATATCTTGAATACGTCTTTATAATTACTTTTTTAAGAACGATTTGGTAGAGAACTGATAATGTCATAGCATCGTCTTCAGTTTGAACTCGAGCTTATTGCTTATAGTAACTTGCTGTGAGCAACAATTCAACAACATGTATCATTCATATGCCTTCAAATCATAAGTTTTTAATATTAATGTTAGTGTTTTATATTAGGAATTTCTTTCTGGGGTAATTTTTCAACTTTAGGTTTGTGTACGTGTTAAAGTCGATCACCGTCTGTTGGGATACTTTAAAAACCAATATTCAATTCTACTATGCATATAAAATTAATTAATCTAAAAAACATTAAATATTAATAATTTCCTTATGGTAAGGGATCATATTACCATAACATGGTGAATAAAAACTGCACTATTATATATCTCTAAGAAAATTATTTTGTATGAATAAGATGTAGCATCAAAATTTTTTCTCGTTTGATAGTACAGTATAAAGTTATAGATATATGGATCTTACAAAATAATGTGAGTTTACAGAGCTAGTGTTAAGGGACACACTAGTCTCTGTACGTATGTGCAGCCCGGGGGGGAGGACTCTGGGAAAAAAGTACCGGGGATGCTCGTCATATCTCGAAGGGGTAAAAATTTGCGATTTGGTACCTTTTAGGGTGTTAAATGTGAATTTTTGAAAATCTGTATTTTCTGGTGTCTCTTAGGGTGTCGGAAATTAAGGAAAGAAGTGCGCATCAATATGGCTCATCCTAGGCGTTTTTTATACAAAATTTAATATTATTTGTCGTGGTATCTCTTAGGGGTTAAAAATCATTCAGCCACACCCTTTTTTAAAGACTTCCGGTATCTTTTAGGGGTCTTTTTGAAAATTTCTGACGAGCATCCCCGGTTCTTTTTTTCCCAGAGTCCCCCCCCAGGATGTACAGCATGGTTTTTAGTGTCTAAATTAGGCATTTTTGAAGGGAATTTTTGAGGCCCTCGCACCTTTGAATCAGTGGATAATTTTACACTACCTTAATATTAAAAAAATTATTTAAATATCATTTTAAAAACATGCTAGATTTCTATCATTGTTGCAATCCCCTCTAAATGTGCAATAACATGGGCAACAAATTGTACAATTTGTAAAGGTAAAAAGCTAAAAGTAAAGCTAAATTTTTACTTTGATAACTCTGGGAGTGGCTATTTAATTCTCCCTTGCCAGGTGCTCATGCATAAAGCACTTGAAGGTGCACACCTTACTGCCTTAGATTATCAGTGCCCCTTACTGTGGGTATTTAAACTTGTCAGACAAAATTGTTGCATTGCAAGATGCAGAGCAAATATTACTCATATTACCAACCACTCTCTTAGCTTTGCAACAAATATGCAGATTTGTTGCACACGGAATGGTAATACCCTCTCCACTACAGAGAAATAATGTAAAAATGTACCTTCCTCTGATATTCACATGATAATATATAAATGGCAAGCAACAGAGTTAAGATGGTAAATAGCAGAGTTAAGATGTTACAGATTAAAAATAGAATATGTATCAAATTCTTATATGTCATATTGATCGGAATATATACATATGATGTAAATTATTGATGGTTAGTCTCTAAAATTTTATTACAGCGTTGACTCTTAATTTAATTATGAAAAATTGATTTCAGCTAATGATAATACTAATTGCACTTAGAGGCTGTGGTTTCCAAAAATGAAGAGTTTAATGCTTTTTTGAATTGGTCAAATTATCCTTACTGTGCAGAAAGACTTGCCTTAAATTTAGTATGGTAACTTGATTGCCGTACATATAGCTGTCACCATGTGCACAAGTTGAGTTTGTTTGGCATGCTGTTCTCTACCCTAATTTATTGCTTTTTTGTTTTCTGCTTTTCCTCAATCACTTAACCAAACTTGAGGTGTGAATGCGTGAATGTGAAGAGCATATTGTACACTCGTATAAGTGAATATTATTGCTAGATATGGTTTTAATGCAGGGACTGCGGAGCCGGTTTTGCGCCAAAAATATGAATATTAATAAAAAAAATTTACTATCTTTTTAGCTATTTTTCTTTTTTTTGATATGCTTAGTTTTCAATATTCTCCGCGGTCTCTGTAATGTGGCCATCATTCATCACCAAAACATAAAGATAGCCTTATAAATAAATTAATAGCATGAAGCAAACCAAAATAACAAAAAATATATGGTATTTGATGTATACATATATATGGAAATATTGACAATTTTACTCCCAATTTTCCATTATGTTAATAATCATATTTTCACCATTGTCACCATGCAATTGCAAGGCTTCCTTAAGCTAGCTTTTAGCAATTTATATTCGTTCATATTATTACTATTACTATTGTGTTTTAGTGCTTTTGACCAGATTACTTAAAAACATAATACCTTTTGTAGGATCACTTGCATCTGTTTGATATTTGCATACAGCTGCCTAGTTAGAAGGAACAGCTGCAAGGAGCTAGGGTCTTCTTCACTTGCAGACAATATCCTCCACAGAGGTGGAATGAAATTTCTGAAGGGTGGGGACGCTTCTAAGAATTGAATTGATTATCAAGAATACCAATTTTCTTTTTAACAGAGCTTGTTCATGGGATGAAAGTGGTTATATCAGGGGATAAACCAATTGTGACAGATACAGCTCTTATCGTCATGAACCATCGTTGTCATTTTGACTGGATGTTTTACTGGAGTGTTCTGATGCGCTATGGGAAGCTTTGCTATCTTAGAATCGTGATGAAAGACATCTTAAGACACATTCCTGGCATTGGTGAGTCAACACTGTTCTGATATTAGAGAGATATGTGGTTTTTTTTTTTTGAGGTAATAAGCTAGTGAGCTAATAAGCTCTACGAGTAACAGCACCAGCAGCAGCAACAACAACAACAACGACGACAACAACAACATCAAACAAACAAACAAAAACTTCATGGGCTCTCGATAAAGCTAATGTGCTTGAAGATGTCTTCTTCAAACTATGAGAGTTAAGATTAAACCACGTCTTAATAATACACTTGTGCTTGTCTTTAAGGTTGGGGAATGCAAGGAGCCATGTATTTGTTCCTAAAGAGACATTGGGAACAAGATGAAGTATACTTAAACACTGTACTGGACTACTTCAAAGACCTAAACTATCCCATCCAGTTAATGATATTTCCTGAAGGAACTAACCTGGACGAGAAAAGCCAGCCTAGAAGTGAGAGCTACGCCCGTAAGAACAATCTACCTATTTACAAACACGTGCTACATCCACGAGTTAGAGGATTCATTCATTGCGTGGAAAAGCTTCGCAAAGCAACGAAAAGATTGGATGCTGTTTATGATGTGACGATAGGCTACGACGAAGATTACTGCTACAAGGAACAAGATATCATAACTGGAAACTTTCCAAAGGAAATTCATTTTCATATTCAACGATACACAACATCTGAGTTGCCCTCAGAATACACTAGTCTCGAAGAATGGCTCGTCAAAAGATGGGCCGAGAAGGAAGAACGTTTAAAACGTTTTTACGAATCCGAAAACAAAGGATTTTGTCCTCCAGGGGAGGAAACAAACCAAGATACCCATGACAAGGAGGAAACCACTGTTAAACGCGTAATGACCATTTCTCTTATCTTCTTTGTTATCGTCACCATAGCGGCGTTTTTTCTCCTCTATAGATTTGTGTACGCTAGGTGGTATCTATTCGCTTTCGTAGTCATGTACACTGTTCAAAATGTAATAGGTTTTGGTATGGACAAGGTACAACTTCTAATACACCAAAAAAAGATTTCGAAACTATAGTTAGGAGGTTTTAATATCTAGTTTACAAAATTGTTCATGCAGTGGATTGGCATTTCCAATTTTTTTAAAGGACGACAAAAAGATAAAACTTCGATAATAGGTTAAAGCTGCTGGTTTTGTTTTTGTTTTCCTTCTCTCCTTAGTTTCAATTATCAGTATAAATCTTAGTTGGGTTGGTTTTCCACTTTTCAATTGTTGCATTTCATTATTGCAGCATGTACCGTGTACGTGCTGAAGTCAGTACCGTATGTTATCCACTCATACGATAACCATTCTTAATGGGAAGCCATTTCAATGTTGCGACTTGTGCCGTATACGTGCTGTCAGTCAGTACCGTATGTTTCCCACTCATGCGATAACCATTCTTATGGAAAGCCATCTCAATGATACGGCATGTCGTACCGTGAATGTTCCCATTCTTATGGGAAACCATTTCAATGTTGCGACATGTCGTACCGTTAACGTACTTTTAAGTCTGTACCGTATATTTCCCACTCGTACCATAACCATTGTTATGGGAAGCCATTTCAATATTACGGCATGTCGTACCACGTAACTGATCAAGTTGTGTTTGCGCCATTGCAAAGCGACTTGTTGAGTAGTTCGTGTGCGGATCCTAAAACTGTCGCACAAAGTGATGATAGATGTGGACCGCCTTCACTCCACTGAAAAGAGGGACATTTAATCAAGGAGTTATGTACAGTAATCATGGATATACTATATAATATAAATAAAAGTTATTTTTATTCATTCTTTCGTTATTTGAGACGTTTTTTTAGAATAAGAATATTCACCGCTATAAAGCCGAAAAAAATCCTTAAACACAAAAGAAAAAATATAGCTTGATTTCCCACTATTCTCTTTTTCTTTTCTTCTTTTTCATTATAATTCCATATTTCAAAATCGATTCGACGTTCTTTGAAAAATTTAATCCAATTTCCCACTATTCTTTCTCATTTTAAAACCAGGTATTAGAATTGGAGAGTGCATCCTATTTCAAAATCCACCCTGCGTTCTTAAAAACGAAACTTAAACTTCCCACTTCCCCCCCCTTTTTTTTTGTGGCTACTGCCTCGTAGAGGCGAAGTCACTATACCATCGAGTTTTGTTTTAGCAAGTCCGTAACACCACAGGAAGCCCAAACTTTCTCAATCCATAAACTTCGGAAATAAAGTTGTTGTTCTTCCATCGAATTATTGCTTTTTCAAATAATATCTTACAACACACACAAACACAAAACAAAAAATACATTTCCCATTACCAATGTTAATTTAAGCCCTAAGATTCATAAAATCAATATCAACATTTCAATCTATATGTCCTTCATGTATCTCAATAGTCAGCTACCAACTTCCTCCATTCCTTTCCTACACAGCAATAATTTCTTATGGCAGTAGCCACATGCGCTTATTGAGCGCCTATTTTTCTTTTCCATCCCTTTTGCTCAGATTTTAATATCCCATTTCTAAATCAGCAGTAGGAGCAGGGGATTGGAACCTATTACCCATAATGCATAGCAAGCTTAGTTCAAGATGGCGGCAACGAGGGTCAGAAATTTCGAAGCTTTGCTCAAATTTAAGATAAAAAGTCCTGAAAGACGCAAAAATCTGTACAAAACTCTTATCACTGCTTTCGTGCAACACGAGAGGATTGAGACCACGCTTAGTAGATGTCAGGATTTATCAAGAGTCGCTGAGAGGGTAAGAATTTTGTCTCGTAAAAAACGACGCGTGAGGCAAAAAAACGTGGAAAGTTTGAAGCAAAAATGTCAATGAGCGCAAAGAATTCTTCAAATAAGAAAGGATTAATTTCGAAGTCATGATTTTTCTATCAATATTGTTTTAAAATTACAGATTGTACAAAGAAAAAAATTTAAATTCCAGTAGATCTTGAAGTTGATTTTGTCTAATTTGAATCCAGATGATTGATCTTGCCAAGAAAGGTGATGAAGCAACTGTAAATAGCTGGTTAATGGTATGTTATCCGTTGACTGTTATATTTTATTGTGTATACTTTTTTGCAGAGCTCACTGTACATGGATTATTATTTGCATGCACACAGCACTGAGTCTGTTCTCTGGGGGGAGCACAGTTTTTAACCACTCAATGTATGTGGCTAGCACTAGCAACACACACACACACACATATATATATATGGACACAGATGGTGTCAGCACTGTGCTCTGTTCTCAGGGGGAGCACAGTTTTTGACCAATCAGAGTATGTGGCTAGCACTAGCTACACACACACACAAACATATATGGACACAGATGGTGTCAACACTGTGCTCTGTTCTCTAGAGCACAGTTTTTAACCAATCGTTGTATTTTTTTAGCACTAGTTCCACATATGAGCACAGATGGTGTTATTTTGTACTCTGTTCTCTGAGAGAGCACAGTATTGAACCAATCAAAGTATGTGCCTAGTATCGCTGAGCTGTGTATATACACACAGATTTCATTGCTCACTGTGCTTTGTTCTCAAGGAGAGCACCATTTCGAATCAATCAAAGCATGTACAGTACCTAGCACCAGCTGTGCATATGCACGCAAATGGTATCAGCACTGTGCTCTGTTCTGATAGAGCACAGTTTTCAACAAATCACAGTATATGCCTAGTATCATCTGTGTATGTACACACAGATGGTATTGTACACTGTTCTCTGAGAAAGCAAATTTTTGAACCAATCAGAGTATGTGCCTAGCTCCGCACATGCACACAGATAGTGTTGGCACTGCACTCTGTCCTCCAAGTATGCCAAGCAAGTTGACCGCATAACAATCAATAAATATTTTTCACAGCAAAAGGAACTAATCCCTAAAGTATTTGGAGAACTGCTTCCCAGATATGAAGGAATGACAAGTGGATACACAAGGGTCTACAGAATTCCCCCCAGGAAAGAAGACTCGGCAAAGATGGGCATAGTTGAATTTATTGGCAATGATTTACCCCAGCTGCTTCCAGATGAGGATGAACTTAGAAAACTTAAACTTGAAAAACTTAAAAAGATGGATGACTTTCAAGTACCCTTAGAGGGTACTCCTGTATGACAGTGAATGACACCCCCATTGGAAAAATGTCAATGTTCAAGTCGTATTGTTTAGTAAAACGAATTGATGAACATTCCGGCTTTCTTTCACATGGAAAATATTTTGTACCTTACAGAAACGAGCAGGATTGTTAATTTTATCAGGTATATGAAGCATAGCAAATCTTGATCCAAGAATTAGCAGTATCCCGACTTAGATCAGCCCAGAGGTTGTTTCAGGGTTCGATCTGTGATTTAGACATGCCCAGACTTAGATCAGGCAAGAGGTTGTTTCAGGGTTTGATCTGTGAGTTAGCCATGCCCTGACTTAGATCAGCCAAGAGGTTGTTTTAGGGTTTCATCTGTGAGTTAGCCATGCCCTGACTTAGATCAGGCAAGAGGTTGTTTCAGGGTTCAACCTGTGAGTTAGCCATGCCCCGACTTAGATCAGCCCAAACTTAGATCAGCCCAGAGATTGTTTTAGGGTTTGATCTGTGATCTGTTAGCCATGCCCTAACTAAGTTCACCCCCGAGGTTGTTTCAGGGAATCCATAAAAATTTTCAACTTAATAACTATTGACGATAATCTCCATAAACTGGTCATTTATTATTTACATTAAAAACTCTTTAATAACTTTCAAAACTGAGCCATCAAGATTACATTATATAGCAGTAAATTTAATTTTTGCATTAAATAGTACAAAATAGTGCAATGCCTATGGTTTTTTATCACTGGTATTTAGTACTAAATAGAACTGGTCGCGTATGTAGAGTGATTTTACTTTCCCGTGAAGAAAAGTAAGCATAATACCTAGTAGTAGACAATAATTCTTTCTTTTCTTTTGTTTTACTTTGACTGTTGGTCACTAATCATACGACTTTATTTCATGGGCCAAGTAAAATGACTCTAGTACAAAATACTGCTGTATACTACTGTGTCATGAATATATAAAGTGTTTGTACTCTAAATGTATGATAGAATAATTTTTAATTAAACTGTTAGTTTCAATAGACACCTTCGGCTGGGGTAATGTTTTCCCATTTCAGACCACATGTCATTCCCTTGAGAATAAGATCCTTTGTTTGAGATGTATCCATATTCATGTGTCTGCTCATGTGCAGCCGAGAGCAAACCTTAAACAAAGAAATGATACTCTAGGGAATGACATGTGGTCTGAAATGGGAAAACATTACGTCAGGGCAAAGAGGTCTATTCCATTTTAGTGTGTTAACATCATGGGATCACATGGCATGATGAAGCTTAAAACCGGATGTGAAAAAGACTAAAAGTTTCAAATCCTTAATATTTAATGATTAAAGGAACACAAAATTTCTTAATAAAGAATTCTCAAAATAATAAAATATAGAATAAAATCAAATCTTAAAGTATCAAGGAGTTCCACTAGAATGAAACTTTTCTTCCACTGAAGCGATCATTGAGGGTCGTCCCAGTCTGAAAAACAAAAAAAAATTCATATGATTTAGATTAAACTCGTTAAAATATATTTGGACTATAAAAATCCCCTTTCAAATGAAAAATAATTATTCGCCTCTCATCAATGTGACCCAGGTTCGAGTCTCATTGGGCTCAGTATCGTATGTGAGTAGAGGTGTTTGTTGGTTCTCTCCTGTGCTTCAAGGGTTTTCCAGGTTCTCTGGTTTTTGTCCCTCTGCAAAAATCAACTTCTAAATTCCAATTGGAATTTCAGTGGACGAAGAGCCACTCTGTGGAAATGCCACTGTTAAATACTATTTATTTTTATTTATTATTCTTATTTAACCCTAAACCCTAGTGCATCTTGATCAGCACATAGCAGTAATAATGGTGATAAACCTACCCTTCCACTTGCAAAGGTTGCTCTATTGATGTTGAATTTCTTCTTTGGTTGTTGTACCTTTAAAAAAAGAAATTTAAATTTTTTTCTTTCCAAAGTTCGAAGAAGAAAAACAGTTCTTTGATTGGCAGTCAGCAAATAAGACAAAGCTTTGTGAGTGACATGCTGATGATAATAGTAGTAATGAGATTAAAGGCCTTTACTCACCCTGTTTTGTGGTTGTTGGCGGACTTGATTGGCAACTGATACTCTTAGTTCCTTGATTGGACCAGGATTCTTTTGTTGTCTGTTTCTCTGACGCTTGTTTTGATTCTGACGTTGAGGCTGATTCGATGTTTGTCTAACAACACATTAAGTCATAGCTATTATTATTATTAGCTATTATTATAAACTCCAATGTAGTCAAATACTCAAGGGAACTTGGCTTTTCACTGCTGTAGATTCATGGTTCGGACCCAACGAGCTCCACAAATTATCTAGAATATCTCGGAAATTAAAAACGCTGATTTCCAAAAAAATAAATAAATAAAATCGTTTCAAGCTAATCTTTGTAATACCCTTTAAAACAGATACTGTGTGGAACAAGCTTTTAATTTTGCTATTGTGAAAGTCAGAATCATGAATCAAACTAACTCACTAAATAGCTCTTATAATTATGATTGCGGCTTAAACATTAGAACAATATCAGTTGAACCATTCCCAAGAGACTCAAAGGACAAATGACATCATGTAACAGTGAGTAACTAACAGCTAAACAATAATAATTACCTGTTTTTATTTCTTACTGCATTAACTTTTCCACCTCTGTTGCCTTGTACTTGATTTGAAGTCTGAAAAATGAAATTATTATTTATTAGCACAATCATTTACTTTACTACTCATTTAAAAGTCCCCATATCTGTCGCATATATAGACTGTAAGTATATACGCCCAATTTGCACTGTAATACAAGGAAACAAAACAACAGGACTCTCATTTCTCTACCTGGATTCCTCTTCTTCTGTCAAGGATATTTTGTCGAGCATCTTTTTGTCTCATCTGTTGGTTCTGTCGGTTCTGGTTTTGTCGTTTTCCTTGTGCTTTTTTCACTCTATTTAGCATTTGCTTGCCCTACATTTACGTAATGCAAAATTCATACTTTAGTTCACAATCCTGGTCTACCAAAAATCCCTTTGATAAAAAACTAAGAAATGAAAATTTACAGTGTTTAGCAATCATATGCATAGGGTTTTGGCAGACGTCAATCAAAGTATTTCCATGACAAAGTTGGAAAACACAACGTTTTCAAGAGCAAACCTATGGATTGTTATTGAAATGCCTTGATTGGTGTCCACCAAAACTTTATCTTTTTGTGATGGCAAATGGTACAATATTGAACACATGGTTGGGAAGAGCACAGTACATAATGAGCTTACAGCATTATTAAGAGCTTGTCTGCTCTTTAATTTGTTGGCCAGAACTTTGGGCTTTCCTCCTCTAAATTTATTCAATGATCCTCGTTGCTGATTTGATGCCCCTCGTTGTTGATTTGATGCTTGTTGTTGATTTGATGCTCCTTGTTGCTGATTTGATCGTTGTCGATTCCCTCCTTGATTTTTCATCATACCTCTGTTTCCAAGTTGTCTTTGGTTTTTTCCAGGTTGTCCCTGGCCTTTCCTTGCAGGTCCTGGTCCTTTAGCAGCATTTCCCTGGCGTTTTATGCCTAGTTGACCTTGTTTTTTTATTATATTTTTACCCTGTTGTTGTTTCTTTTTCTTTAACATTTCTTTTCGTTTTGCTTTCTTCTCTTCTTTTATGATCTCATCTGTCGTGAGTAAATCAAGGTTAATTAAGAAACAAAAGAATTAAAGAACTTTTTATATTTTTTAATAGAGAGAAAATAATTAACTAAGAGGAAAGATGAGCTACTGAACCAAGCAACGATCAAGTACTTAGCTCTTACTGGATAACAATCTAAATATACATACTTGGGGAACTCTAGTAACAGCTGGGTAAGTGTATAGTGTACTATGGCTATATAAAACATTATCGACAGTCATTATATTTGTGGCCTAAAGAAAGGTCTATGGTATATATACATAGGTTGCATGAGACTTTGCTCCCTCAGTATCTTATTACTGCACTCTACAACTGCAAAAATACTCGTAATAGTTAGCTAGTATATATAGTGCACTTGCTTCTTTCCACTGGGGTTCTATCTGTGAGTTAGCTGTTTCCTGACTTAGATCAGCCCAGAGGTTGTTTCAGGGTTCATTTAAAAAGTGAGACATATGGTCTAGTCAAACAAACACTTGCAATAGAATAAAATTAAATCCCATGTAACATAGAAATAAATACAAAGGAATGAAAAAAAAAAGAAAGAAATATTACAGATATTTTCACACTGATCAAAACCCACAAATAGGTTCACCTAGGTTATTGTCAAAAGAACACCACGTTTTTATCAATGTTTTTACTTGTTATCATAAATATTTTAAAAGATCTCAACAATTTATTCAAACCCATACAACAACTTTTAAATTTTTTAACAAGTAAAAGATTTGTAAATAAAAAAACTTGTGTTTGAAATTTTTTAATATCGTGAAGTTTCCATAGAAAATATATAAGAATGTCAATCACGACAAGTATATATAGGAATCTAAGTTTCTTGGGGAAAATAGATAGAGGTCGAAAAGAGTACACAACATTCAAATGTATCAATAGGATTTCTTTTTAACACTGACAAAGAAATTCTTAGTTAGCAACTTAAAACAATTACACAAATTAGATCTTGAAAATGTAATATTAAATGATTTTCACTCTAATTTTAGAGAGTTCTCGAAAGCTGTCACAAATAGTTAACCATTTATGAAGGTCAACCTTTATAGGAATTTTCATTTAGCGGGGATTGATCGAACAGTAATAAAATGTAATTGAACGCGTATGAAGCAGAAAAATTAGACCTAATTGCAGGTGAAAAATTACACGAATAATCCGTTTTCAAGTACGACCCTGTCAACTAATCTTTCTTTAGTTTATGCTTGCCTGTTTATCGATACCTAAAGTTTAAATAACAAGTCTTTCATCTCGATTTTTAGATCGTAGAGAGTAAAAGATCAGTTATAAATAGGCTAGTTAATTTTGCTGTGAATGTCATGTATTTCGTGGACATTTTGTAAAAAAAATTCCTAAGATCAAAGAGGGCTAACTCTTAAAATATAAAAGTATTAGAAGACCTAGTATTTGTACTTACCGAGGGATTTATCAAGGATGCTAGTCATGGTGGATTTTTAGGGAATTTTAAGCAAGAAAGAGAGAAACAAGAACTTTTCCCTTCAAAACACAAACACAAATGGACGCTAATCAACCACCTAGGTACCAGGTCATCAGCCGTGTGCCTCGTTGTGGGGAGATTTAGTAGGGGTCCCCTCCCACGGGAATTATTGTCAATGGGAGAACACATACCGTAGCATCAAAATGGCTTCCCATAAGAATAGTTATCGTATGAATGGGAAACATACGGTACTGACTTACAGCGCACAGGGTACAGCATGACGGCATGCCGTAGCAATGGTTTCCCATTGTCTTCCGGGCAGTAATTTATCCAATTACAACACATATCACGGCTACGGTAAAGATACCGTATGGCTATTGTTACGAATTCACATATGAAAACTGCTCTATCAGTCGAGGGATATTTTAAAAGTGATTTGGACCCCACTGTACCTCAGACTCAGACTGAGGCAAGATTGACCCTCTATTGTACTTCCGGTTCCGGTTCTTGTCAATCACGCGTGTCAACAAAACGAACCAATGTTTCGATCGTTGATGATATTTACTTTAGATAAAAACATTATTAGACTACTTCGAAGGACAACGACAGCAATCGCATCCACTGAAACAAACTCAACAAAGCGTAGTAGTTTCTGCCATAGTTTAAAATTTAAGGAGAAAACTTCAAAAATTCGCGTTATTCTATAAAGATGAAAACTTTTGTCACATTCCTAGGTATCTTCATTGTCTTGGTAACGTCCGCAGACGCTTCAGTGAGGAATGTAACTCTTGGTGGTTTGATTCCTTTGACTGGAACGACCTCTGTAGACCAGGGCCACCAATCTTTGGTTGTTCTTCCAGTTTTACGCATGGCGTTAGAAGAAATCAACCAACGAAGCGATATTCTGGCTGGTTATGAGCTCAAGTTGTACTTCAATGACACCAAGGTATTTGTTTTAAGTTTTGTTTTATTTGTTTATGGATATGTTAAAAGATGTTTAACACTTGTTTGTGATGGACATGTGATAGTTAGGGCTAAGCTGTGAAAGCATTTGAACCCTACTTCTAATCAGGTCAGGCTCCTTTTGGCAGTCAGTGTACTCTTGTGACCCGCGAAGTTTAATGTCTCGTTTGCTGACTAGCATTTCAACAGGGCCGTAACCAGGGGGGAGCACAGGGTGCACGTGTACCCCCATAAAATATTAAGGTCCGCTGATCTATCTCCTTTTGCTTTAAAATTGCATGAAAATGTTTTTTGATTAAATGAAGACCTCTTTCCATCTGCATATTGTAGCGTTTTTTTGGTTCTGCAAATCATTGCCTGTGCACCTCCCCTGCAAGATCCCTGGTTACGCCACTGTTCAATAACAAAGAGCTGCATAAATAATGGTAGTAAACGTCACGTCTTTGCACGAAACTGTGGATAAATTCTGAGAGAGGAAACTGAAACACTTCCTCCGTGTGTACCGAACAAAGGACTAACCAATAGTTCCAATCATTGCCTTTTCTCAATCGAATTTTCAGTGTAGCCCTGGTTACGGGTCACGTGTTCTCTTCGATATGATTGACAGTCAACCCAACAAAGTGGCGGTGCTCGGGCCAGGCTGTTCATCGGTGTCGGAAAGACTCGTGGATGTATCGAGTACTTGGAATATCATCATGGTCAGTGCATTTATTCAGCTTTTAGTGTGTTTGTAAAGTAAATGTGTGTTGTTAAAAGTCGAACGTGTTTGCACACTAATTCAAACAAGCATTGTCCTAAATTTGACTTACAGTTTGTTTGATGTTTTCGGCAACAGTTCTCAATCAAAACAAGGGTCCCAAAAATGAACAAAGTCAATGCACAGAAGAAATATTTTGCATTCAATTTTATGCTTTCAGCATTTTACTTGAAAACGTTTCGTTTCACTATTATATGTATTATGGGGGGGAGGGGCTGACTCCGCTACCGCTCCAGGCTTGAGGTTCCTCGGGCAACCCCCAGAAATGTTAAAATTGATTCAATCGCTGATAAAAAAAAACAGTTTCAAGTGTTTTGGAAGAAATGCCTTCCGTGAATAAACACGTTATCCTAATTTTCACTCGCGGATGATACATCCATCTATCTTTTCCGGCGTGTAACTAAAAATAGCGATCCAATAATGAATAGATCATCTTCACACGAAATCTCATGACTCAATGTTCACTAATGAATTCCCAGCAAAATTACAACCAAAGGCTTTCAGCAAACAAACGTATAATTCCTAAACAAACAAAAATCCGAATTTTTTTCGTAACTTCGATTTATCCTTTTGTTTTGCTTTTGTCGACCTTAAGGAATTAGAGTATTATTTTAATGACCAACGCTTTACGGCTGAAGTTTTATAGGACATCGTGTGCAGACTGTGCAGGGACATGGCACGGAATGTTTCCTCAAACCTCCCTTTCTCTCTGCACGTATTGCGACAGATGTACAACGTTCTTTGAGTTTAAGCGAGATGATTGGAAGTTTGTAATCTTTAGTAATTTTGGATACTTTTTAGGTAATCACTTTTATATTTCTAGCAATCATATTGTGATTTATGAATAATAACTGATGGCTGTCAAAAAATGACTTAGGAGTCATCGCGAGCCCAGTCAAGTCTAAACAAAGCTGGAAATACTCGCTGAACTAGAACTCGCTTCGTTCGGTAAGGCTAAGATCTAGATTGGTTGGAAATCATTTCATGGATGGATTCGATTATGAATTCAAGTTTTGTTGCACGAAATGAAAGCAGAATTTGTGACTATCTGCCATTTACCGTCAACATGGTTTCATACGTTGCAACCAGAGGGACTCTATCGACTACTGTATTAAGTTGTGTATTCAACGGCTTAACATTACCATTCACGTTAATCGCAAACATCCTTGTCTTTGTCGCTGTTTTGAGGAAACTAGAGCTCCGTACGGTTCACAACACATCTATCTTATTCTTGGCAGCGACGGATTTACTAGTAGCTTCGATTGCGCAACCAGCATTCGTGGTGTACCAGGGAAGTAAGCTTCAAGAAAGTTCATTCTCGTGCGAGGCTTTAGCAGTTTACACCAGTACTGTATTCATCTGTACAGGACTGTCAATCTTGACTCTTATCTTCATCACTCTGGAGAGATACTTTGCTATATTCTATCCCTTCAAATACCAACATTTAGTCACGACCGAACGAACAGTTTTCCTGATTGTCGTGGTATGGATTCTTTGGGTCATCTTCATCTCCTTAGTACGCTTCACACCTGGTACAACTACATCAACACTCAGTATCATCGCCAGCATCTTAATCCTCACAAGTATACTCATAACTGTTTTCGTTTATTACAAAGTTCAAAAACTCGTCATCAGAAATCGTAGAACTATCTCGGCCTCAACTTCAGGCGTATCAGAGACGAGCGGTGAAGATAGCAGACGACGAAGAAGCATCCCAGAGACCAAGACTTCCCGGACAGCTGCTTGGCTGACCGGGTCTTTGGTACTATGTTTACTGCCAACTTTGATCACTTCTTCTGTCTTCCAGGCAAAAGTAACGAATAATGTTACTTTGTATCACGTTATCTACCCACTAACTGACACAGCAATTTTGTTAAACTCCACTCTTAATCCATTTATTTATGTTTTTCGAAGTGAGAGTATTCGCAGGAGTATTAGGGAGATCTTTAGACGATCTGCTTGAACTGAATTTGCGGGAAACGCGAGTATGGAATAAAAAAGCCTGGAAAGACAGCTCAACGCCGCACCCGGCAGCTTGCAGTAAATACATTGTGACAAAAAACTGTGCCGGAAATATGTAAAATAAAAGAGAACTGCATATAAAAGGATCAACCGATAATGATGATAACGGCAGGGGAAAAAAACAACTCTGGATCGAGATAGCAGATGGTATCATGGGGAAAAAGGAAGAAAGAAATAGTCAAGTTATGTACTTGGATAAATGAAAGATAAACATGTGAATAACCAATTTAAAATAAGGCTGTTAATATTTAAAATGCGAAAATGTAAACTTAGTTAAAAAAGATATAAAACTTTTCAGAACATGAAAGGACATGGACCGCAAGATTCAGGATGAATAAAGCGAGTTTCGACAAATACGACTTTGCAGGAACAAAACTTGGCACGAAAAAAAAAAAAAAAAAACACATTCAGACTATTAATTTAAAGTCGCAGATGCATTTCTGAAACTTTAATTTATAGTTGAAAGTAGGGAAATTTCATATTCTAATGAAAAAAAAGAAAAGATTGATTGGTTTTCTTGGCTCCCTACACGGATTTTTTCATCAAAACATTCTCAGCGCACAGATGTCAAATTTCTTTTGTCTCAAGCCTCATGAATCAAAAATGATTTCAGTTGTGATGAACATTCGAGTTTTATTTGTCATTCTTTGTAAATATTAAATGTAATAAATAAAAGCAATAACCCAAAATTGAGTTATTTAATGACTGTAGAAGCTTTATTTTTATTTTAGTCTTTTCCCTCGCCATTGGTAAACAGACAATCGAGGATGCAGGGTTTTACTTCCGTCTTTCTTGACAATGTTCGTCTTTACTTCAATCGAAAAGCTTCCCTTTTCCTCATACCTCTGTCTATCTGTCTTGTTCTTTTTAAACAGTACTAAAATTGCATTCTTGGCTGATAAATAAAACCTTATTCGTGCTGACAATTGCTCTTCTTTTGTGTGACCAAGGCAAACTGAAGGACAGCGATAAAAACCGATGTCTGTTTTTTGGCTAATAAACACTGAGTACAACCCGAATTGATTAATTTCAAATACAGGCAGTCAGTCAACTTTTTATTTGGCTATTTTTACATATTTCTTCCGCCAAAAAGATCTCAAGTGGTTGAGTTGTCGATTCTTAATGAAAATTCTTTTCATAGACAAGATTTGAAGATATCTGTTTTGGAACTAGCTTATCTATACTTCTGCATTATCAATCAATTATGAAAAGCCTGCAGGCAATAAAGCGCACACACGCCAAAAATTTAGCAACGGAAAAACAAATTAAGAGCTTAATTTTTTGATAGAGTTTGATCACATTTTTAACAAAAAAAGGAAGGTCGGACTTTAAGGCAGCCGTTTGCTTCAATTATCTTTTTTTAAAATCTTTTTTTAATTGTTAATCATAATTAAATAAAAAATGTCGATCGGCATCTTTGATTTTTTGCTGTTGTTGTTGTAAATTCCGCTCTAGCTTTGAAAATTTAATATAACTTAAATAATTGATATTTTTTCCGATCGAATTGAGTTATTTTGTAAGTAGAAGTACAGGTGTGGGAGCTTAGCTGGTTAGAAAAACTTGGCGAAGAAATAAGGAGAATAAAAACAGGTTTTCTTACCCTTTCTTGATCGTGTTTTCTCAGAGTTAAATTCTTGAATCCTAAGCAGCTTAGATTCCTACTTACATTTTAGTTGTTTTTTAATATTTTCCCCCAGAGACTTTTTCAGGTTAATCCGCTTACTAGAGACGACTTCAATCTAATACCATAATTGTTAAATTTATATCCTATATATGCTAAATTATTATCATCAGCTACTGAAATTAAGGGCTCTTGAAAGTTCATTAGTAGTGACCTTGAAAATAAGGATATTAAAATAATTGGAAAAAATAAATGAATAGGAAGTCCTGAAAAAAAAATTGAAATTGACTTTACATTTATGTTTGACTGTTATTACATTTATGGTTGTTATTACCTTTATGGTTGATTTTTATTACATTTATGGTGGGTATTACATTTATGGGTGTTATTACATTTATGGGTAATACAGGCATACTGTATAGAAAAATTTGAGTCATATATATACATATATAACCTTCAAAATGAATAAATAGAAAGAAATAGAAAGTTCCGGAAAAAATGGGCATAACATTATGGAGTGTGTTGGAGGAAAATGCGTTTTTCCTATTTTCTAACTTATTTTCCCTTGATAAATTATAAACGTTCCTAATAAACGAGCAATGCTTCCTAGAAAATCGTAGTCATGTTGCCATGGAAACGTAAATAAAGCTTACTCCGCTTACGCATGCGCAGATGTTTTTGATCGCTCGTAACAAAATTTAAAGGACGAAAGATTTAACTTTGAAGAATACGTCTTAAAGCTGCGTTTTCTTAAAAAAGGAATTTTTCTATTGCTAGTATAGAGCTGTGAGATATTGGGACTGTTTACTCTCACTAGTAAAAGATAGTACTTTGTATACACGATTTAGTCAGGGGAGGGGGGGACAGGAAAATCATATAATATGAGCCTCACAATGTCTGCATCCTTATAGTGTTTAAGTATACAGTCAATCCAAAAAACGTTGTCGTCGACCGGCTCAAGCCTACGCGACTGGACCGAAAGGAATATGGGTAAAAATCACTGAAGCGGTTAAATATTCGTTCTGAATTAATTGTTCCCGCTAGGAATAAAGATAATAATGGCGAGAAACAATCCATCAAATGCATGTCTTTGGGTTTAGGGAAAGGAAAACAAAGTAGTTATGATTCAGTTCACAATTTCGAAAATATGAAGGCATTAAAAAAACGTCTCCTTCGACACTTCCCGCTCGCCTACGAAGGTTCGTGCTGTAAACCAGGCATAACTAGTCAGATAAAATTATGGAGTCAACTCGGCTTCAATGATTGCTTCCCAGAGTTCCTTTCGGTCCAGTCGCGTAGGCTTGAGCTGGTCGACGACAACATTTTTTGAATTGACTGTATGCAGAAACCTTTGCCAGCTCAGCTGTCCTGTCGCTGTCCTGTCGTTGTCAAGTTTGTTTGTATTTCGGCTTGAGGAAAAGGAAAAGAGAGGAAAGCTGTAATTGCCAATCCATTTTGTTCTGTAAATATTTTGGTACAAATTTTATAAAACTACTCAGTTGATGGATCAACGGTTTCATTATTCCGGCTGCACACTGAGACTTTGGAAATTACACCAGAAATACAGTACAGTTTTCATAGGTCTTTTGTGGGCCTGGGCTCGTTGATCTTTCGTAGACCCTTCGTAATCTCTCGTAGACCTTCGTATATTCCTCGTAGATATTTCGTAAAACACTTTATTTGTCTATTAGAATAATGTATTATTAATATTAGAATATTATTATTAATATTAGAATATTATTATTAATATTAGAATGTTATTATTAATTATTATGAATATTAGAATACTGTAAGTATTTCTAACATTTGTTTTACTCGTGATGTGTTTGTCTCTCGTTGCTAGGTAACCTATATCAAGTCGACGTTCAGTGCCACGCAGAATGCTAAGCGAAATTTTTTCACCACGATGACGTCAGATGGTAGTCTGAATGACGCATGCGTAGCTCTGATGATGAAATTCCAATGGCGTCGAGTGGCTTTGATAAGACAGCAAGGGATCGTGTATTCTAGGGTAACGTACTGGATATGACTCTATGACGATGGCCATGAGAATGATAGTGATGATAAAAATGATGGTGATGATGACTTGTGAAGGTGATGACGATAATAATGACGATGATGATAATGATGACGATAATAATGATGATGATGATGATAATATGATGATGACGATGATGATAGTGACGATGAAAATGATGGTGATGATGACTTGTGAAGATGATGGATGATGACAATGATGGTATTGATAATGACGATGATGATGGTTATGATGATGATAATGATGATGACGATAATGGTAATGATAATGACGATGATGATGGTGATGATGAAAGCGATGGTGATGATAATGGTAATGATGACTTGTGAAGATGATGAAGAGGATGGTGAAGATGACGACGATGATGGTGATGATGACTGAACTGATTATAAATGGTGATGAAGAGGATGATGATAATTTTCTAGGCGTTTAATGACTTACAAGAAAAGCTGAAAAAATCCGGTATACAAGTGATCACGTCGGAGACATTTAGTGACAAATCTGCAGAACATTTGGAAGAAATAAAGGTAAACAAGACGATACAATGACAACATATAACCCTATGTTTAATTTGACAGAACATGAAAACTTTCTTGATGTTACACCCTGTCTGTTTTTTTTTTAATGGAAGGCCAAGCAAGCCAGGATAATTGTTGGAAAATTTAACCAAAAACATGCAAGACAAGTCTTTTGTCAGGTACAAAACCGCTTCTCTTAATCTATAATCTATAATGATTGTACTGCGGATGATAGTGATGTTAATGGTGATGATGATAATGATGATGATGATGATAATGATGATGATGGTGATGATAATGATGATAGTGATGATGATGAGAGGGATGATGGTGGCAATGATGATGGTAATTATGATGATGGTAATGGTGATGCTGCTGCTGATGATGATGATGATGATGGTGATGATGACTAATGATGGTAATAGAGACAAATGAGGTTGTAGTGACTCAGAGACAGGAATGGCATCTTTCAAAACCAGTTTTTTCCCTCTTTGAACAATTCTTAGCCAAACTCTATATATTCCTGCAGGCATACAAACTTCGTCAATATGGCCAACAGTATGCCTGGATACTTCTGGATGGTTACGATGACGACTGGTGGAAGAAAGAAGACAAAGATGTCCCTTGCACACAACAGGAGCTACAGAAAGGTTTTGAAGGAGTCATTATCCTCACAAATCTTGGAATCAGGCTTGACCGTCACACCAGTACAATCTCTGGCATGGTAAGTTATACTCCAGTTTAAAAAGATAAGTCGATTTTTGGCTCGTCCCAGGATCTGCTTTACACAATAGAACGAGTAGAGACTGGAGCGATGAGGGACATGCGCAGTATTGGCAAGCGCAAAGAGTGCTTCGAGGGTTTTTCTCTAGGGTCTCTACTTTTCCACCACCTTGGACACACTTTCAAAATACTTCTAGCAATACTCCCCATTCTTAATCTTCATTAATTTTTAATCTATAAATCTCCAATGTTTTCTCAGACTTCCCAGGAATTTATTCAAAAATACGAAGCAGAATCCAAGCAATCAGCCAATGAGGGTCAAGCAGGTCAAGCAGGTTTTGCCTACGATGCCGCCTGGGCATTGGCTCTTGCACTTAACCAATCAGAGACAGTGCTGTCAAAACGTAACGAATCTCTTGGTAATTTTACTTATGAGAAAAGTAAAATAGCAAACACTATCAAAGATTCTTTACTGGGAATTCACTTTGAAGGAGTTACGGTAAGGATAAGAATAAAAGAAAAAATAAATAGAAGGTTGAGTAGGTCTTAGATTCAGGTCACCCATCCAGGTACTAAACTCACTTAACCGGGCTTGACTCAGTGTCTTGGAAGCCCAAGTTTTTCCCACTAGACCACGTTTCCAAAAAATTAGCGCAACAATAGCCATGAAAACAATGCAGTAGATAGACTAGATTATTTTTCCACTTCAAATCAATGTACCTAGTGCGTTGCAGGTGGTGCAAGGGATTAGCTGTACACATGATCTGGGGGCCGGCTGGTCTCTCCCCTGATGCTTCGGCTAGAACATCGTCCTGCGTAATCCGTGCAAACAAGGGCAGAAGGATTTAATTGCCGTCAGGTCCGAAGTCCATACGTCGCCTCAGCTCTGCGGATGTCTCGGGGGTATGGCATGTTGTAGGTGCAGGTTATTATTTTGGAATTAATTATCAAGTTCCTGTCGGTGGACGTGGGTTCGAATCTCATCGTATTCAAATAAAAAAAACTCTTTCTTTTTTTTACATCGTTTTGTCTTCAAATCCTTCATCATATTGGTAATCTTTTTAGAAACTAGAGTACTATTTTTTAAACTTAAGATATCAGGTAAGCATTCTCAACCCGAAAAATGAAGCTCTGCTTTCATGGTTTGAAATGCCTCCAGAAAACAGTTTACTGACAAGAGATTTTACCCCAATTGGTTTCTCAGCACTATCTCTCTATATTACTGTTATTTCTGTTTCCATGGTACTGCAACTACTGTACTACTGCTAGAATTTTTATAGAGTAAGATTGGGTGTACATTATCTTGGGAATTTTTTTTTCTTTTTTTTTTCTTTCTTGCTTTCTTTGTAGTTCGCATTGATTCAACCCAAAGGAAGGAACGTTTCTTATTTGAAGGGGGAGGGGAGGGGAGGGGGG